TTAGCGTATCAATAGTATCATCAGTCAGACAGCCATGCCTAACAGAATCAAGCATTTTAAAGAAAGTTTCGTCTCCTTTTTGTCGCTCATTGATTGTTAGTTCATCATATTCTACTGTTTCTTTCCATATGTTAACTGCATTTGCTGCTCCAAGTCTAGTTTTTACTAGTTTGTTGCTAATTTTATTAAATACTGGCCTACCATTAACTGGTGGCAATTGTAAGAGGTCACCTACAAATAAAATATTTTTGGATCCAAACCATTCATCAGTTCCAAATATATCTTCTAAGCGCATGTGTAAGTATGCTAGATTTAGATTGGATACCATAGATACCTCGTCTACTATTATAATTTTTAAATTTTTAAGTGTCATTTTTATTCTTTTCTGAGCTTCTTTACTCAAAGCCCAATATCCAGCTGTCTTTCCCTCATGCTCTATCGGTAGCTGAAATAATCTATGTATTATTAGTCCACCTACATTAAATGCGGCTATACCTGTTGGTGCTACTATAGCACACATAATTTCACTACTTTTTGGATGCCATATGTCATCCACTAGGCATTTTATTGCCTCTATCAAAAACGATTTACCAGTTCCACCTACACCACTAATAAACATCCTTAGCGGTTTGATATTATCTAATCTAAGTAGTCTTGAAGACTCATTCTCTAATAAGTCTTCACGTTATTTTTGACTTAAAAGATGACTCTTAATTTTATCAAAAATTGTTTTTTGATCTACATTAAGCATTGCCTCTCTTTGCTCTAATGTTAAATTAGGTACATTTATGTGCATGTCAGCAATATCAGCTACTGCTTCCATTATTTCACCTAGTAATTGAGGCTCATCATCTTCCTTGTTATCAGGAAGTTCTTCTTCAGTGAAACCGGCTTTATTTCTTGCATCGACTATTTTCTTCCAATTACGTTCAGCTTCTAATAATTTCTGTAGTTTGTTGAAATGATTTTCAATGCCATGTATAGATGCTTCTCTGTGACGCCTAAAAGCTTCTTCCATTGTTTCTCCTTCCATTACAAGTGTGCTCTCGTCTCTAAAAGGCACAAATAAAAATATTAGTGAGTAATAAAAATCGTCTCTTTCCGCTTCTTGCATAGGATTAAATTTCCTATGGTTTGGAAGGACTGGCTTTGATCGAAGTTTGTATTCTCTTTCTCCATTTTCTCCTATTTTATCAAATTTGTAATTGGCAACAAATTCATAAAGAGATACATCTTCCATGTTATTCGGTCTTGTTGGATAAAAGTCTTCAATTATGCTAGGATTAAAGATGTCTTTCGAAGATCGATCCATTTTAGTTAAATATGAATAGTTTTTGATTTTTCTGCTCCTCTTATGG